GGAGATATATATATATATATATATATATATATATATATATATATAAGGATATGGGGTCAATTGAAAATTAGGTACAAGTCTAGGAGGCAAATCACTATTTTAGCCTAATTAAATAGGATCTTTTATTCATCTTACTTGCCCTACTCTTGTACTTGTCCTCAAAATGATGTTAGTTCTGCGATTAGAGGGTTAAGCGTATTGGGTTTTGTAGTCTGGTGCGATACACGACGTTCAATTTTATATTGTTGATATGTCATGACTAATAATATGTTTATATCATTAACGACAACAATATGTACCGACATATTACCAATATATTTTCGCCCAAAGGCAAAATTCAAAAACTATTATTGCGAGGAGGAGGAGCATACTTAAAATAATAATAATAAAACTCGTGTAAGTCCTTGACCAAAATGCAAAGTGTATAGTATTGTGTATAAGAGGGAATCTTTTGTTTTTGGTCGAAATATAAGAGGCAATCTAAAAGGCCAAAAAGAAAGGAAATCATCCATGTCTCTAGCATCCAGTGCCAACTGTAGTTTGTCACATTAACTGTCATGCCCAAGCAAACAAGTAAATATATAAACAAAATGGAGGAAGCAAGCTGCAAATAAAATATGGGTTATGCTAGAGAGATCAACTTTAGATACCAACTTGTGTACCATCTCTCTAATAGAGGTGGAGCCTACCAATACAATGGGTCCCACACTCTATTAGAGAGATGGTACACAGGTTAGTATCTAAAGTTGGTCTCCCTAGCATTTTCCATAAAATATGCACCACAAATGACAATGTACATGTCTTCATGCCAAAAAAAACCATGTTACTAAGTCGTGAACCTACATCCGTTGGATCATTTAAGAATAAATCACTCAGACCGTAGAATTGTCATTGTTGTCTTGTATTGCGGTGTGGGTCCCACGACCGGCACAATTTAAATTAATCGTATTGAACGAACCCATTCCCATGTCCGCTAACTATAATAGTCGTTGAAAGTGAAAGACATTTTTAAAAAGTTAATTACAGGACCAACTATAATTTAATTTAATTTAAATTATATACATAATATAATTACAATCACAAAAAGCTTTTCATACTGACCTTGGAATATTACTTCATCCAAATCCCTTGCAAAAGAAAAGAAGAGAAAAATGGCTGGAGCTTTGATCGGAGAGGCCTTTATCTCTGCTTCCATCAAGGTGTTGTGTGACAAAATTGCTTCACGCGAGTTCATTGATTTATTTCGGCAGAAGAAACTCGATCAACCTCTCCTCATGAAACTGAAGAGGACGCTGTTAACCTTGAACGTAGTGTTGGATGATGCAGAGGAGAAGCAAATTGAGAAACCGGCTGTGAGAGAGTGGCTTGATGAGCTCAAACATGCAGTCTTTGACGCAGAGGACTTACTGAATGAGATCAACTATGAAGCTTTGCGATGCAAGCTGGAAGGTGAATGTCAAGCCGACAATTTAACCAATAAGGTGTGGAACTTCCTCCCTACTTCTCGTAATAAATTTTATCAAAGCATGAATGCTAAGATACAAGAGTTATTACTGTTGATGCTCTTTTTCGGAGAGGGTTAACTTAGAGATAGGGGGTTGTCCTTAGTAAGAGAAGGGCCTGAGCCTTCGGTAGAGGGCTAGCCTGCAAAAGACAAAGATAGGAGAAGCAATCGTTAAGTTTCGGACACCGGTGTGGTGCCGGCCGAAGGCTCTCCGATGCCTGAGTCAGCTAGGGTGAGTGACTATTGCAAAGTAGCAGTAATAGTGGGAGAGAGAAGTTACCCTTTTTTCTTGGTTACTGTTCCCCATTTATAGGGAAGTAAAAGTAGGAGGTTTGCACAAAGTTCCGATGTGGGACTTTGTGCAAGTTGCTGTGATGATGACACGTGTCTCCTGTGTTTTAGGTTTGGCAGTTCGGAGCTTCGGCAGGTGGTTGTCCCTTCGGAAGGGCATCTCCCTTTGGCAGGGAGGAAGACATGTCTACCTTGGTGCTCAATCACGCTTGGTTAATT